AATGCTGCTGCTGCTGACATTTTACAAGACAGAAATATTTGCTATTACATTAATCATGGACATTGAGAAATGCTGTGCTGCTTTTATTACTATTTAGTTTTACCTTGTCAAGTGTTTGTTTGTGCAGATAACAGGTAGAAGATTAGATTGTCGGTATAAATATTAAAGATGGAGTATGATTAGTAATTTATAGGATGTATATATTAGATTATAAATAGAAAAAGTATAGTTCTGTATGTAAGACCTTAACAGTACAGTGTATATTTCAAAGAATGGACCCTTGTTCATTTTTACAGGCATGGTACAAGCCACTGCATTCTACAAGAGCAGCAAATTGCAGGGTATCAGCAAAAATAACATAGACACCATAGACAATATCAAAAACATGGTGCTGGCTCCTCATGCAGATGGTGCTGCCCCCTATGTACAAGTTGGAGATGGGGAAGGAGGAGGTGGAGAAGAAGATGACCAGTCCAATGTGAAGTTCTTCATGGGGTACTTAAGGAGCAGTGGAGGAGAAGGTACAGAACTCAACTTTTGGGGTCAATCTAAGGTCAACTCTAGGGTCAACAATATGAGGAACTCTGGGGTGATTAGCGGGTCAATTTTGGGGTCAGACATAGGTCAGGTCTCCAGTCAATTCTAGTCAACTTTGGGGAATACTTTTGGGTTAACTCTTGTGTAAGCCAAAAGTGAACCCTTGTGCCAAATTGGGGATCACCTGAGAGGTCACAGATGGGGCTAGCAAAGGGTCATTGCAGGGGTCAACTCTTAAGCCAAACCTGGTACTGGCAGGCCTGTCAAGTAGCATCAGCAAGTCATAAATGCACAGTAATTATAGATTGTTATGTCACACTTTGTACTTTTTCTTCTAAATAAGCCAGTGCTTCATGTTTGTCTACATTATGGTTTTTGCTTTCAGTCCTAGTAGGATTTTGTTTTTCTGTTTTTTACAATTTTGCCTCCTTGGCTTGGGAAGGCTCAGTTACTTACGTACATTTATTTGTCAATAACTATTACCCAACCATTAATGTTAAACACTTTGTTGTGTTTGTAGAGCCTGTAAGCCTGATTATATTTGGCAAGGAGATCTGTGTGTGCCACCAGGCCCTGGAACTGCCTCTTCCCAGGCTACAGGTGGCGCCAGGGGAACTGTCCAAGAAAAGCCAGTTTGAAGTCAAGGATAAGCAGGTCATCACCGACCTACTGGAGGTGGTAAGTGAATTTTATATGATTTCTATTAAGTTATTTTAAACTGCAATTGAATAGGAAAATAAAAATGGATGAAAAAAAAATTAGATGTTGTGATATATTTATGTAGATAGTACTGAAATATCCAGTGTGATGTAACTCTATCTCACTAGGGTTTTAAACTTAAACATCTTACATGGATGCATTTTACTTTCTTCTTTTAGACGCTAGACACAGAAACAGGAAACAAGGTAACACTGCACTTCCTGAATGAGGAGACCAATGAGGAAACAGATTGGCACATTGCCATGGAAACCACCACAGCTGTCCAGTCATTGATCAGAGCCATTAGGTTGCCATGGGAACATCAGATGTGTGTGGAACTTGAAGTTAATTATGTCTGACCTAAATATAATATGTGACAAATTTGCAAGATAATATCATGGCTATTGCCACTGAAACATTAAACATGTGGAGTGAACTATGCAGTGGCTTTTTAAATTAAGTTAAATATTTTTGGACATTTTACTGATAATGATCTGTGTTAAATGTTAAAGTACTCAGATATTGGTGGCATGGTGTTAAAGGAAAAAAAAAAGGTTAGTTGTTTCTAAACATGGTCAGTAATATAGGCTTGTTGCAATGGTTTGAAAATATGAGGATGTCTTATTAAGACTGCCTTAATATAATGTGCTTGAATGTCTAGCAGTCTAATCTAGATAATAGCCATGGACTGCCTGGTGCGGCATTGATTCACAAGAAGAAAACGGGCCGAGGCAGATTCCACTTTTTACGTAGGGGTGGCTCTGTTTCATGATGATTCAAGGGGTGGGGAATGGAGTGGGGGGGGGG